TCGTGGGGCTGTGGCTTGATGTCTTGGGGGCTTGGGGTCTTGGAACTGGGGTCGTGGCTTGATGTCTTGGGAAGGTCGTGGCTTGGGGTCATGGCTTGGAGTCGTGGCTTGGGGTCGTGGATTGGGGTCGTAGATTGGGGAGGGAGGGGGTCTTGGGGCTGAAGTAATAGAGGCCATCTTGATAGTGTTGCTCTACTTGCAAGACCCGTAATTACTGGTGTGCTCTCTATTAACACCTGTAGGTACCTGGGAAGTGTCGCGTGATTATATGGAGAAGCGCACGTGAGCCCCCACCAGGAGACGCGGTGGTAGTAATGGTGAAGCTGGTGGAAATGGTGATGCTGGTGATAGTGATGGTAGGGTTAGTGTTAGTGATGGTAATAGTGGTGGTGGCGGTAGTAGTGATTATGGTGTTGATAGTGGTAGTGTTGGTATATTTGTGATGGTGGTCATAGTAGTAGTAGCGGCATTGGTGGTAGTAGTGGTAGTGATGGGAACTAAGTGGGTCCCAGAATCCAGCTGTGGGAACGACTCGCAAGCGGCCTCTATACTCACCCGTCACTACCTGCGTCATAAGTTAAGGATTTATTCGGTTAGGTTGGTTAGGTTAGGTTGGTTAGGTTAGGTTTGGTTAGGTTAGGTTTGGTTAGGTTAGGTTGAGTAGACTTGTTTGTGGTTGTTTGTATATCTGTATTGTCTGCTGTGTACACGATGAAACAGTGTGAGTTTACTATGACGGTTTGACTTAGTATATGTTTGTCCATCCAGCCAGCTATTTCTGCATCTATCTATCTATCTATCTATCTATCTATCTATCTATCTATCTATCTATCTATCTATCTGTCTAATTCACCAACATCATCGTCATTGTTGTTTCAGAAGAACTGTATTATAATGTACCGTAGGAAGGTGCATTACAGTCTTTATGCATTTATTTTGTTTAAAGTCTGGTGTCCACAATCATGATTATCGAAGTTAAATAAAAAAAAGTATAAATAAAAATAAGTAAATAAAAGCCATTAACATCAGGTCTCTATTATCAAGTTACAATGTGAAGTAAAGTTTGTCTCAGGTGTGTACTGATAATCAAGTGTGTGTGTGTGATTCGTAAGTCCTAAGATGTGATAAATACGGTACTGCCCCTTGAGAGACAGTGCGGGGTAAAGTTTGGTAAGTGTTCCAAGAAGTTCTGTTCATTTAGATTTACCAAGAACAAGGTCAGGGTTCTTAAGATGGTACGGTACGGTGGTCATTTGTTTCTTAAGTTGACACCATTTTACAGGAAGTTCTTGGTATAAAAGTTTTCCTTCTATTATTATTTTTTCCAGGAAGTTCGTAAGAGTACAAGTTTCCCCTCTACCTATTATTACGTTTTCTATACACGGAAAGACTGTATCAGAGAAAACGTTTCTTGCCGGAACTCGTCAAAATCACTTAAAATAGCAACGCTTCTTTGTACGATTTGAGTCGGAGTTCAGCAGACTGAATAATAAGTAAACGAAACTAGCCAATGAAACCTAACCTAGCCAACGAAACCTAACCTAACCAAACCTAACCTGATTTAACCTAACCTAATCAAGAAATAATCAAGGGTCAATTGGTTAAGTTACGTAGGAAAGCTGACATTCTGTTTTGTTTAATATGTGACAGTATTTAGTCCCGTAGTCTCTGAGCATAATGTAAACAGGAAACAGCCTACAGACAGGTCCACCTCGTCTTGGCATTTTAATCTATTCTCATAAGTTATGTTATTGACTGAGGGAAACAATATTAAAAAGTATTATTTAGGTTCTACTTTACCGTGCGGTCTACAAAAATATATTTAGTCTAACCTTACCAAACCAAACCCTCGGTGTGTGTAAGGCAAGAGTCCTGCCTCGCCTCTCATCTTTCCTTATTTAAAGAAAACGTGAGAAATTGTTCACGGTCTAACAGTAAACAGTCCACTTTCTCCACTACTCCTCTCTGGTTTATCGCGCTCGTCTCGGCATGTGTGTGTGTGTGGAGGGGGAACTGATTTATCCGTAATTGTCTCTTAGTATTGGTTGGTGTAACTCTCGATAACTGCTAACACGTGAAGTAGTGCTGATGTAAAGTATAATTCGAGTGTAGTTATATTCTCCACAGCTATAAACCCGTCATCTGATGGTATGATTATTATAGAATGATTATAGTGAACAGTATAATTGTGATGTATGGCTGAGACACTTCATGGGTGTTGTACTCTTGGAGATTCTCAAAGACCCGTTCATTCCTCTTTCCCCCTTTTACATGATCTTGAGAACGCTTGTAAATCACGGTAGAGGTCCAGCTCAATTTCGTCGCCATTTTGCCTACCTACATTATTCCATCAGCTAACCAGGTCAGTTCAATACGTCTTTATGATTTATTGAGAATCCGGACCTAGATAAGAATCGTTTCAGTATCTTTGTTTTGGGGAGAAATTTAACTTAAGAGTCTTTGAGAATAGAGACTCAGTCAGATCGTTTGTTTATATATTTTAATGGGTGAAAATTCAGACACAGTTATGGTGGAAATTTTCACAGACGAAACATTTAATTAATTGGAGTTAATAGGAGGAGGGGGAGGAGATGGAGGGATAGCAGGAGGAGGAAGGGCAGCAGGAGGAGCAGAAGGAGGAGGAGCAGCAGGAGGAGGGGAAGCAGCAGGAGGAGGAGGTGGAGGGATAGCAGGAGGAGGAAGGGCAGCAGGAGGAGGAAGGGGAGCAGGAGGAGCAGAAGGAGGAGGGTGCAGCAGGAGGGAGGAGCAGGAGGAGGAGGGCAGGAGGAGGAGGAGCAGAAGGAGGAGGGCAGCAGGAGGAGGAGGAGCAGAAGGAGGAGGGGCAGCAGGAGGAGGGAGGAGGTGGAGGGATAGCAGGAGGAGGAAGGGCACAGGAGGAGCAGAAGGAGGAGGGGGAAGCAGGAGGAGGAGGAGGTGGAGGGATAGCAGGAGGAGGAAGGGCAGCAGAGGAGGAAGGGGGAGCAGGAGGAGCAGAAGGAGGAGGGGCAGCAGGAGGAGGAGGAGCAGAAGAAGGAGGGGCAGCAGGAGGAGCAGCAGCAGCAGAGGGGGTCGCAGAAGGAGGAGGAGGAGCAGGGGAAGCATTAGCAACGGGAGAAACAGCACTAGGAGAAAAGGAGAAGGAGGAGCAACAGTTGGAGGGGGAAGGAGGAGGAGGAGGAGGCTGGTCCGCGCGTGCCAGCATGTAGGTCACGTGAGGTACACCAAGAAATGTTAATCATGGTGGTGATTTCTCTCAGATTTCAACAGCTGTCAATCATAGGCTGTTATCTGTGTGGTAGTGAGTGTGTCTGGTGGACCGTGACGGGGTGGTTGGGGACGGTGAGGGGCCTACTGGTGGTGGGGCTCGTTGTGGTGGTTTTGGGAGTTGTGGTGGTGATGATTGTGGTGGTTCTGTTGATAATCATGGTAGTGTTATTGTTGGTAACATTGTTGGTGGTGTGTAACTTGGTAATAGTTAATGGTAGTTGTTTTGCGCTATGGCTGCTAACAGTGCGTGATGGTGGTGGTGTTATGCTTTGTAACAATGACGACGCGGAGATGGTGGTGCGGCGTAAATTGATTTTTACTCTAATATGAACTGGAATGAAATTGTTACCCATATGTACAGTTCCTTATGAATACTGTACTTAATTATTTTAATGCTGAATTGATTTAATAATTGCTCATATATTCAGAAAAAGAATTAATTCCAGGTGTTAACGGCGGTGGTTGAGTGTATAGTGCGCTCGCCTCCTGTTCACGGTTGGTGGTTCGGTCCACGGGCACCCCCAGTCACAGTTAACCCAGCTGTAAATGGGTACCTGAGTTTAAACTTTGGGAAGTGAAGGCTGTCGATTACAGTACCGTCCCTGTTGCCTCCTTGTGTACTGAAGGCCTAGTATACAATACAGTGTACCTAACGGCCTAGGGGACCCAGTCTCACCTTTACGTCAGCCAGCGTGAAATTGATATTTTTTTGTGTGAAACTCTTGTTCATGTGTGTTATGTTGATACAGTTGTGAGTTGAACAATAATATGAGTAAATCCTTATCACATGAATATTAGACACCCCAGTTTATTTCACCTGAATATTGACCATCCTAACACTACCTTGTGGGATTAGGTTAGGTTAGTTTAAGTTGGTTTAGGTTAGGGTAGGCTAGAGGCCATCCTTCATATCTGAGGGTTGGCATCCACAGCCCTCCTCTTCAAACGTTGATGGGTTGTGTTGACCAATCCCCCCATGTGTTGTGTCTCTCCGGGGACCATTGATCCATCCCAGTCTCTACCTCCCCCCCCCACCCCACACATGTACCTTTATGTTTTGTAACACCATCACGATATGTGCAAAACCAACATTTAAGGGGACGAAGATATTCAGAATTATGCAAGTGTCGATTTACATATTTGTGTTCATGGCCGTAGAGCGTCACAAGGGAGGAAAAACTGTGTATAGGTTCCCATGTGAGGGAGGAAGGGGAGTGACAACATACCAGGTAGGTTTCATAAAACACTAGTCCACACACACACACACACGTACACACACACAGACGTGATTTATGTAAACTTCACAAGGGAAAAACAATTACACTTAAAGAGAACTACATTAACTTGGATGATGTACTGTATTATAGTCAATGAAAAATATAAATTTATTAAGATAAATTCATTTAAATGTGTATGTTAATTGTGAAGGCCATTAGACTTCTCAACATTTCTCTCCATTACTATAAGTTACCTATGATAAATTACCTACGAATAGTTACCTGTAAGAGGTTACCTATGATAAATTACCTATGATAAGTTACCTGTGAAAATTTACCTGTGAAAATTTACCTGCAAAAAGTTACCTGTGATAAGGTACCTGTAAATATATTAAGGTTCACAGCACTCGTTACAGGTATATTTTGTTCGTTAATTGTGAACTTGTTATTATTTCTCTCATTTTTTTACAGGTTATGATTATTATTATGTGTGTTAATTGATGGTACTTGTTGCAGGTGGTGGCGTGGCTGCTGGGTCGGGGAGAGGAGACACTGGCCCGCCACCAAACACTGGCCGACACCCTCACAGGCATCACCCGGCAGGAGACAGAGTTCCTTAAGTTCTACTCCGTCGCAATGGTCAGTCTTCCTCCAGTTGTTTACCTCTTTTTTTTAATCCCCACGTCGTATGATTATTAATTCTCCCTCTTATTATTATTATAAATCATATTAATAGCTCGACTCTCCTGTTGGGCTTAGGTGGTGTGTCGACGGTCTAGCATCCATACCTTGTTTATCTACGACTCATCGACAGACATCCGGGTCAACTTTAATCAGTCTACTTTAAACAGTCTTAAGGAAAGAACAGAAGCATCCTCGCCTGCCTCTTGTTATTGGGGGAAGGTTACACACACACACACACACACACACACACACACACACACACACACACACATCATGGAATTTGATTCACATTTCTGTCAGTGGAAATCGTAATTTTAGTTCTTCAGTGAAAGGTTCGATGAACAGATACTTGAAACAAGTGTGCCAAAAAATGGGTAAGGAATAAGTCACCCCTGAAGGCCAAGTTGATCGTTTTCCTTACAGAGAAAGAGACGCGTTCATTTTCTTCGACACTTGATTTCTTTGTGGGGGTGACTTAATGAAATACTATACTAACCCCCTATGCTTGTCTGTATTGCGTTTATATTTAGATCATTAATTCACGACAAGAATACGGTGGAAATATAGATATACGACACAAATATATTACCTTGGAATCTTTGTATGAGATTTTTAACGATATCTTCATTTTGATACACAGAATGGAATCCGAAGAGGGGGGGGGGGGACAAAGACGTGAACTTGTGTTATTTACGTTTAAAGTTGACATAGGAAGGATAGTGGTCACATTATCCCGCACAGTAGGAGACACGAACAACCTAACGATTCTAGGGTAAGGTTTCAATAGGTCATTCAATAAGGTTTGGTAGAGGCGTGTGTATGTGTGTCGGGTATCCAAATTTCTTAACTGTTGCTCTATAATTCGCCCACTGGATATAATTTACTTCCATGTTATATGATAAGGTGTGAAGGTGGCAACATGGCCCCGAGTACTGGCTCCCAGGGGCTAACACAAGGGCTGGAGATTTCATACACCAGTTTTTGCTGCTTCTCTGTACCTCTGGCCCTGAGCATGACAAATTCTAATACTGTACTGTTTTACTTCTTTCTTGCCTTATGTGTTGAGGAAGACCACATTCATTTTGATTAGATTTTACGGTACTGATGATACTACGTTTGAGAATACTTATTATACCGACATTAGATACGTTTTGTCTATATTTTTGCCTTCACCATTACTGATAATAACAATAATTAAAACAGACATATAGGTAATTGAAGTAAAGAGAAAATTACTCCATTAAGTAAGTAAATTAGGTAATGGCGCCTTATCCGACCAGACAGGCGCGAAATACGACCGTAGAGTTTAATTATAAGGTAGGACTTGATTGTTTTGACCTTACCTGTGTTTGGTTGCTCAGGTGAGGATGATGATAAAGCGGTCGTGACGGTGGCTGCGGTAACGGTGGTGGTGGTGACGGTGGCGGAGGTAGTGATGGTGACGGTCGTGACGGTGGCGGCGGTGATGGTGGTGGTGGGTGGTGGTAGTTGTGGATGGTGGTGGCGAATGGTTGTGATAGTGGTGACGGCGGTGGATGGTGGTAGGTGCGCTTTAAGGAGAGAGAGAGGTCAGGGATGTGCTGGTATGCGGTTAAGCTTTTTCTTATGTGGCGGTACTGATGGTCAGGGCTGTGGCGGGTTCTTTGTACATCCCCCCCCACCCCCACATCACCCCCTCACCATCACCCCCACACACTCCCCCCACACCCTATCACCACACACAACCCCTTATACTTCCACCCTATACCCACTAGCACCCACACTAGTCCTTCCACACCTCCCATACACACCACCACATCACACACACACACACACACACACACACACACATAATGTTGAAATGAACTGTATTTTGAGCTGATCCCCATCTAAGTTACTATATGTCTTATTTGTGTCACTTATGTCACTTGTATATTATTTGTAATTCGTAACCCATTCCCCAAATATGTAACTGTATATTTTCAGTCTTCTGGCTGCCAAGCTCTTTCAATAAACCGTTATTATTATTATTATTATTATTATAATCTCCTTCCTACGCTTATCTGCACAATATGCATCTCCTCCTTCCTCCTTCCTCCTCCCCTCCCTGCCCCTCCTCACCCCTTCCCCTCCTCGCTCCCCTTCCCTCCTCGCTCCCCCTCCTCTCCTCCCCCTCCTCCTCCCTCCTCCCCTCCTCTCCCCTCTCCCTCCCTCCCTCCCCTCCTCTCCCCTCCCTCTTTCCCCTTCCTCACCCCTCTCACCCCATCTCCCTCCCTCCCTCCTTCCCTTATGGTGAGCTTCTCGTGAGTGTCGTGTCCATGGTTGTGCTGTATTCTTTGTATTTACTGTAAAAAATAGTTTTGTAACTCATATTCCATTTACTGTATAACAATCGGTTACAGCAGTCATCACACTGGGTGTATTATCCCCGTGCTGTACCGAATTGTCTGTAATTTGGGCGTTTGAAATATAAATACTGTAGTTTCGTAGTTCTCATCAGTGAAGTTCATATTTTTGGGGGCTCAAATTCACGATCTTGTTATGTGTTCAAAAGTAGGATATGAACGTTATGTATTATTATTATTATTATTATTATTAGTAGTAGTAGTAGTAGTAGTAGTAGTAGTAGTAATAGTAGTAGTCGTCGTATTCTTCGTCAATCAGGAATTTATCTTTGTGTGTGTGTGGGGGGGGGGGTAGGCAGGGCAGTGTGGGAAGCTGGTGTAACATGCACTGGGGCAAGAGAGGGCAGGAAGCATAACTATCATCGTAGGTCAACAGCCAACAGACCACAACATAGCTCCGAGGGGGTCACTAGAGGTCACACAACACCCGGAATATTAAACAACCCAAACTCACCCACCCAAGAACCCGAGGACCGTCAACAACTACTACCACCACCACCACCACCAACAGGTCGAGGTGAAGTAAACATATTCACTCGGGAGCTTAATCATCACTACAAATACTTGGGGTTTATTTTACGCGTCTAGTGTATTTTGTGTCATGATCAGAGCTAAGAACTGCAGTTGAGTGAGGAGGGGGGAGATGGGCAGGGGAGGGGGGAGATGGGGAGGGGGGAGGTGATACGATGGAGGGACCCGCATGTTGCTTCCGGTCCCACACTCTCCCGGGATGATCAACGTCGACATGGTTTTGCTGGTAGTGGTTGGTAGCGGACGTGAGGAGGAGGAGATGGAGACGGGAGGAGGAGATGGGGACGGGAGGAGGAGATGGGGACGGGAGGAGGAGATGGGAACGGGAGGAGATGGAGGAAGAGGAGGTGATGCTGTGGTAACCCTCTTTCCCCTCCATGCAATACCACAAGCGCCAATGTACCCTACCAATACCACAAGCACCAATGTACCCTACCAATACCACAAGCACCAATGTACCCTCCCAATACCACCACCAATGCAATACCACAAGCGCCAATGTACCCTACCAATACCACAAGCACCAATGTACCCTACCAATACCACAAGCACCAATGTACCCTCCCAATACCACAAGCACCAATGTACCCTCCCAATACCACCACTATTTCATGTATCATTTATCCCTATGCATCTCACTTAACAGTCAGGTAGATAGAGGCAATAACCTGTATGTTTTACCTTTGTATGAGCACAGGTGGGAGCGAGGTAGTGGGCAGGTGAGGGACTATATATAGATGGTAACTAACGAGCCATTATTACAAGACGGTGAGGGGTCGAGCGTGCAGCACAAAAACTATCCTCACTTAACAAAGGGTCGGTTGGTTAGGTGTGTGCAGAAATGCTATAGCTAGCGTGAGACTCTACCTACCTACCCCTGTCACCACCACCACTACCACCATCACTACCACCACCACCACTACCACTACCAGAAAACTACTAACACCACTATTACCACCACTACCACCACCACCAGAGGGTCGCCATAGCCTAGGCTCCTAGAGGATGTGAGCCAGGGAGTGTCTCTCTGTCTGTCTGTCTGTCTGTCTGAACTTGGGGTTGGTAAAGGTGCTGTGGTGGTGTGGTTCGCCAGTTTGAATGGAGTATTTAATTTACTCTCTCTCTCTCCTTTCAGTGAACAGTGGCATCACCCACATGAATCTGATCTATGTATATATGTGTAGGTATATATATATATATATATATATATATATATATATATATATATATATATATATATATATATATATATATATATATACAGTATATACTATTAATGAATATGATGTATTTCTTTGTGTATGAACCTCTGTCCTGCGTGGCAGTGAGAAGTGATACCACCCTCAGCGTCAAGACCTGACTGAATTACTGAGAATTGGCAAACTGTACTCCAAGCTTTGTCAATAAATTTGTTGAACTAAAAAAACAGTCGACCCTGGCCAATGTGTGTGTGTGTGTGTGTGTGTGTGTGTGTGTGTGTGTGTGTGTGTGTGTGTGTGTGTGTGTGTGTGTGTGTGTGCAACTCCACCATCTGTCACCTCTGACCTTGGAAGTGTTCGTCACCACTACACTCAGCTTTCTACACAATTCTGGGATTCACAAACATTCTTACGTTAACTATTGACTGGATCACCTGAAGATTAGACACCCCAGCGTATCCCACCTTAAGATTAATCACCTTCACGTTAACATGAAAAATTAAGGTTAGATTAAGTTAGCGGTAGGTATGGTGTGGCATAGCTATGGTGTGGTGTGGTACAGGTGTGGTATGGTATAAGTGTGATGTGGTGTATTTGGTGCGTCATAGGTGTGGTGTGGTGTGGCATAGGTGTGGTGTGTTAGTGGTATGGTGTGGCCTAGAGACATGAGCCACATCACCAGCTTCGTACTATCACCCTCACCTTGGTTGGTAACTACTGGGGGGGGGTGACGGGTGGCATATATCACAGAGAGACGAAGGAATGCCGTGTTATATCATGTCGGTCAAGTGCCATTTACGTCCAAAGTTTTGGCCTTATTGTTCGTTCAATCCAAAGTCTGGCCTTATTGTTCGTCCAAAGTCTGGCCTTACGGTACGTCCAAAGTCTGGCCTTATTGTTCGTCCAAAGTCTGGCCTTATTGTTCGTCCAAAGTCTGGCCTTATTGTTCGTCCAAAGTCTGGCCTTATTGTTCATTCAAAGTCTGGCCTTATTGTTCATTCAAAGTCTGGCCTTATTATTCGTTCAAAGTCTGGCCTCTTAAGAACTTCTACTTTAACCTGACGAGAATGTTTTAGAACTACGTAAACTACTATTAAGACTTAACTAAGGCTTAAATAAGACTTTTTGATATGAACTAGAAAGAAAATGATTAGAAGCAGAAGTGAATAGAGGAGTGCAAGCAGTGATAGTGTGTTTAATGAGGGTGTCATCCGGGAAGTTCATCTGCAGACTCAGCTAAGGAGAAGAGGAGGGTGTAGGAGGAGGGGAAGGAAGAGGAAGAGGGAGAGGGAGAGAAGAAGGATAAAGAGGAGGAGGGAGAAAAGGAAGCTGGTGATGATTATGAGGGGAAGGAAGGAGAAGAAAAGAAAGATGAGGAAGAAGAATAGAAGAGAAAGAGGAAAGGGAAGAGGAAGAGAACAAGAACAAATACAACTAGAAATCAGTATCGATGTAATGAACAACTCACAACAACAAGATGATGATGATGATGATGATGATGATGATGGTGATGATGGTGATGATGATGATGATGATGATGATGATGATGAACCACGAAGGAATACAGTGTCGTTGTGTTCATGGCCAGTGTATGACTCAGACTCTCTTATCACCGAGTACAGCTGTGGACAGAAAATTCTTGAGATATTTTTGAGGCAATGTTTTGTAACTTCTATTTCAAGGGTTCGTGTTGTTAAGGAGGTTGTTAAGGGTCATGTTGGGGTGTACGAGAGACAGACAGACAGAGATACCAGTTATATAAAACTCATTCAAACCCCCAAGCGTGTCTGAGGTAACGATCAGAAGACCAAGTAAATTAAAACTAAAGTTCTATCTTACTGTACACGAACACAAACTTAGAAGAGAAAAAAAAAATTACACCGCTTCTTAAATTCTATACGAGAGAGGAATTAGAAAGAGCGTTTAGTGAAGATGATTTTGTCCATTTTTACGTACTGGTTTATATGGGTTTTTAT